AATATTGAAATTTGAAACTTCCACATCATTGCATTCTGTTTTTATTCACAATTGTACAGTGTCCCAACTTTTTTGGAATCGGGTTTGTATTTACAACACTGTTCCAGAACAGTTCAACCCAAATATTCTGATGTGTGCAGTGCATTTTGCGGAGGATGAGGACTGTTTCCTGTGAGAGTAGCCTACAATGCCGGTGTCTGTTTCTATAAAGTGGGGCAGCTCCAACTTTGCAAGGACAGTCTGGCGCATCTGACTCACAGCCTGTAAGTACGTTTTTTATATTTAAAGAATTTGCCACTGACGATTCAAACGCGAGTTTTGAGCAGTGTAGAGTAGCACTTGTTGTTTGTCCTTTCTCCAGACATGGTTTTATGTTTACGCTAGGCCTGTCGCGATAATTAAATAACCGTCTAATCGCGATTATTTGATCTAACCGCGGTTGTTTCATACAACCGTGATTATTGTGCTTTTTATACGAGGGGGAGTCATACACCAAAAGAAACAGAAGAGCACCAGTTTGCTCTTCATGCACTGTATAGCCTATACAGGGCTCCAACGCGGTGGTCGCGCCAGTGCGACCGCACACAAAATTTTGTCGCACAGTCAGAAAAAATTGTCGCAGTCTGGAGCCCTGCTATATCATCTGAAGCCATTCCATATCTTAATGTGAGGGACAGAATTTAGGTTTACAGAAACTCATTTTCTTTCTGCTGCAGCTGTCATTCATTCTCCGCTCAGCATTCAAACAGCGCATCACGTTCAGTTATGACAGTCAGCACGGTAAAACTCTCTCTCCAAGATGATATATTCCCATTATAATACTTTAAGTTTAAGGAAGGAAGGAATTATCACAAACAGAAAGATTATTAGAAGCCTTTCTTTTTCTCATGATTTCTATCTTATATTCATGAATGTATTTTGTAAGAATACAAATAGTTAACAGAATAAACATGTTTAAATTGTATAATGTGCACCAAAGAGTTTTTTTTCAAGATATTGTTTTTGCTGCTAAATTATACAGTCAGCTAGTTTAATTTCATAGCGTAGCGTACACATTTTTATTCAAATGTAGTTTTTCTCTGTAATGAGGAAGTGAGTATTTAGTGGATTGCGTTTAACAAATGGTTTAAAAGAGTGACCATTAGTTCCACAAACACACTGAATTATTTTGGCTGACTTGTTGATGCTTTCAGCTACCAATAAGCCTGAAGTACTCGAAGCTCTGCAAGCTGCACAAAAACTCTGCAGACTAGACTTGGCGTTTTTTCCCCGAGCTGTCTGATGGGATGTCCGAGTGTGCAACTCACCCTGTTGGTTGTAGGACTGCTCAAACACAGTCTTGTAAAGGCTGCGGAAGGAGGCACTGAGATCTTCGAAGTCGGAGAAGAGCAGCTGCTTGTCGCGTTCCGGTATGTTGTACTGGGCCTGAGGGGCCTGCTGCAAGCTCATGGACTGGGACACCGACTCTGGATGACTTGTCACCTGAAGGGGGAGGAGAGGAGGATGACGAACACAAGATTAGCAACCTTGCCACTCTAAACGGCAGCACTGCTCAGCCAGGCCCAGTGACCGGCAGATTAGAGCTGAGATAGAACATGACAGCACTGACTACAGCACTCAGCATCACGGCACAGGAAATGAACTGCCAGACACACTGCAGTACAATATGCAGGAGCTAAATCTCAGGCGCACAAAACCCTCCAAATCTTGACCGTTTATTTACTAGCACGGCTGAATCTCTACATAACCATACAGCAATGATCAAAACAGACACGTCTCCTGAGAGTCTCTCTGAAGTTGTTTTTACGGCTATTTATTCTGTAATTAACAGCTTGGCGAAACTAACTGAGCAACACAACTGAAATCGACAGCAAGATCATAAAAGCTCGCCTGCAAAAAACAGGCACTGATCCATAAAACAAATCTTTCTAATGAAAAATATCCAGTACAGGTTTGCCCATCAAAACGAATTAGCTTGCGTGTCTGAAACTCTCACGTAAGTGTTTCACTCCAAATGGGATCTGCTCACTGTTTTGAGTCTGAAGAGATGCCTTTCATGCCCAGAATGAGTGATTCATTGAATAGCTCCCAAGGCCTCCATAATGCCGAGCATATTTGTGGCGTACACAAGGGCAGAGGCTCTGCCATGTCTAGCTCAAGACAACAGTGTTTAGCAGACTGGAGAGGCTGGCAAAACAGTCATCTGCCACTCTGAAGAAGTCTAATTCTAGCTGTCAGTGTGAACTAGTGAGGGGAAAAATACATGTATCTGAAGACATCACAAAGCTATTGCAAACAATCCCGTAAACAGATAATTGTTAGCGCCGGCGTTTCCTACAGTGTCTCCCATTGATAATACATGGTTCCAGCGTTATACTACACAAAAAAGCTATAAAAAATAAAAAATAAAAAAATAAACCTTTTACAGCAATAAAACTTTGTGAATATCTTACATTTTAAATCCCATTCATTCAGTACAGGTTCACTGAAAATGCCTGAAAATTTAAGAATTTATATTTTGTTATAAAATTCAATAGTCTCTTGTCAGTACTCAAAATGCATATGAATGTAATCATATTCAGTACTGGAAAGACAACCATATTCTGCTAGGTATGCACAATATTAACTTTCTGGCTGACACTGATAAGACGATAATTATTTTCATGTTATGGTTCATTACTAATAAATGGAAAATATAAAAATTCTATACTATATCTTTAAAACTATACTAAAACATTAAAAACTAAAACTAATACTACACATGAATTTAGGCATCACTAAATCAGAGCAGGAAACACTAGTTAGCTTGCATAGAACATTAGCAGCAGAGACTAATTGTACACAAGAAATATGAGCAGTGGGAGTCAGATGACACACTATGCATCACTGTAAAGATGAGCGCATATAATCTGGTTATGTTCAAACAGATTACATTGTTCAAATCAGCTGGATGAAGCAGAAAAAGACAGACAGAGAGACTGAGACTGAGAGAGACTGAGACTGAGAGAGAGAGAGAGAGAGAGAGTCGGGACACGGCATCACAATATGTTAAGGGGCATAACATTTCCGTCACACGCTTGAGGTATTCGGCCAATCACAACGCACTGGATAGCTGGCCAATCAGAGCACACCTCGCTTTTCAGACCGATGAGCTTTGTAAAAATCGACGCGTTTCAGAAAGGCAGGGCATAGAGGAGAAACAATAATGTACAGTATGTGGAAAATAATGTGTTTTTTTAACCTGAAACCGCATAAACACATTTCATTACACCAAATACACAAAATAATGTTATTTTTTGCAACATCATATGACCCCTTTAAAGGCGATTTTCTCAATATTTAGATTTTTTTGCACCTTCAGATTCCAGATATTCAAATGGTTGTACCTCGGCCAAATATTGTCCTATCATAACAAACACATCAATGGAAAGCTTATTTATTCCGCTTTCAGATGATGTATATATATTATTATTTATTTTGTATAATTTAATATATTATTGTATATAAATATATTATAACATATTTATATACTGGTTTTGTGGTCCAGGGTCACATTTAATGACACTAAAAAGAACAAAATTTTCCTTATACACTGAACACAACTCCCTGTACACATTTTAATTTAATTATATTTGTATATATAAAATTAATTACAATAACAACAACAACAATAAAAATATTTTTTAAAATATTTTTTATTAAGAAAAATTAACCATTCATTATTTTATATACAATATTGATATATTTTTATTTAACAGTTTTTTATTGATATAAGAGAGTTGTTTCAAACGACTGTGAACTGATGTAATTATTTTAAAAATTATTTTATTACATTTTTAAATGCAATAAAATAAAAAATATTAAACATGCAACACATTATATGTATTTATTAAGTAACTCATTAACTGGTTACATGTAAGTTTTAAACACGTTTTTCTTCATTATATCAAAATAGCTGCATAATAAACATTCCATTAATAAAATGTTTAAATACACAATTGTATATAAACACATATGTATGAAAATTGGAAAAAATAAATATATTTTTTTGAATACATTAATATACAGGACCTATATGTGTGTGTGTGTATGTATATATGTGTGTGTATGTATATACAGTGGGTACGGAAAGTATTCAGACCCCCTTAAATTTTTCACATGTATGCATGTATGTGATGATAAGCTGAAACCACAGGTGGAGTGCTGAGGAAAAGGAGCCAATCAAACAGAAACTGCCTGGTTTCAGAAGTCTTGAGGGGAATTCTTAGCCCTTTTCATAACGGTAATGTTTACGGTTGCGTCACATATGTGACGTGTGGCATGCGTACGCCACACTGTCTGTACAAGAGTAAAGTCAGCGCTAACATGCCGCACCCCACACTGTGGCTCATATGGAGAGAAAGCGTGGCTGGTGGCCAGCAAGATGATCTGCTGTCTCAGACGGCTGAGAGGGGAGAGCTCTCCTTCAGTAAAGGTCACGATGCTGGCAGCGGTGGAACCGTCAACTCGCACAGCGCAAATTGGTTTGGGACAGCTCACAAAGGTCCCGAATGCTACAGAGACCCTGACCTTTCTGTGTGCACTGTTGAATGCGCAGTTTTCCGAAGCGGAAGAACCTCCACTTAAAAAAATGATAATCCCAATTATCATTTGAAAAGCTGAACTGCAAATATGTGCTAGTTGCAAAATGAGAATAAATAAGGCATTGGAGGGATGGTATGGGAATGAATATAATGAGCTCCTGGGAGAACAGTCCTACATTGAGTTTGCCGTGGTAGGAAAGGATGAATGGAATCGCAACAATGCTGGCCGCACTCACATCACACGCCGCATGTCTTGGCAGCAGCAGTGTAGTACTAAAACCACGCAACAAGTCCCAAGATTCACCTGCCTCAGTAAGGTCGTACAGAGGCTTTCATGCTACACTTAACCGGTCGCCGACCCAAAAATTAAAATACAGTCATTATTGATCATGTCGTTCCAAACCTGTGTGAACATATTTACCAAAATGTCTCAATGGAAGTCAATGGGGTCCAAAATTACATTAAACCCTATTGGCTTTCATTGTATGGATATTTTCTAAAACCATTTCAATAGAGAAAGGCCCAATAGATTTTTGGTTGCCACAAGAGATGCAAACACAAACACTTCGGTCCCGTTCCCCCTTGACTCAGCGCGACAGCAGATAGAAAGACACATTACAGATCACGGTCTCTTACAGAGAATTATCATTCAAGCAGAATAAATGTTTCCCAATCCTATTACTCCCTGTTCATCAAAAGAGCGGAGCATAACAGTTGCCGGGGCTGCACTGGATTGAGGGTAGATGGGGGGTTAATGTCATGGAATGATTTGCATATTATAACTCTTCCCTCGTTCAGCTATGTTTAGGCCTGGAAACAGTACATTACCAGAACAACTAACCCTGTGTGCAACTAAGCTTAGGCATGTCGAAAATTCAATCACGCAGAAACCAGTTACAATTATAATCAAAACCTGGTGTGAAGAACAAGTATAAATGTTATATGTAATTAAGTCATAAAAGAGGCTTTTAGCCGTGAGCCTTTCACCACAGTCTATTTTTACTCCCTGTATCCATAAAGTATGATTTAAAGACCTTGTCACACTGTGGTTTGTTCAAGGCCCAAAATGTAGACGCCTACATACTAGCACTGTGTGCATGTCCGCACGCACGCACACACACACACGCACATACACAGTGGGAAAGTAACACGCAGAGAGAAGGTAAGGGGTGAACAAATCCATTGCAAATACTCCTGTGTGTTTGCTGCGGTGGAAAAGGAGCGCTATATTTAGCCGTGAATTAAAGTCAAAAGCCAGTGGAGTCTTTCATACGGGTGACTAATCTTCAGCATGAGACAAGGATTATGAAATCAAAGAGAAATCCACCCAGGTGTCTCTAACAATAACTTGCATTCAAAAGAAAATTTCTACTTTGACGCAATTTAAAGACAGTGTTAGAAAAAAAAGGAAAGAAAGTTCAGCTTAGGCTTCAATCCATCTTTTGTTACAATCTTTCAATACAAAATAATAAATATTATAAATATATAAATTATATAAAATCATATCTAAAAATGTATATCATTAAATTACATATCTCACCATCTCACACACACAAAAATTATTATTTTGATTATTTAGCAGTAATATGTACTATGCTTTTAAAAAAAGTTAGAAAGGTAAGAAATATAATATAATAACAAATATATAAAATATATTCAAATATACATAAATATATTAACATAATAAAATTATATATACACATTATACACATATCAAATATCTGTTGATTTATTTAGCAACATTTCTCATTCATTTCTACTATGCAATTTAAGAAAAAGATTATGAAAGTTCATGTTAAGCATCAAGTATCATTATATTTCAATATAATGAAAATATAAATATAATAAAATATATTTAAATAATATTTGAATATAACATTTCAATATCCTGGCTTTCTTGCAACAAGACTGCAGTACAGTCAGATTAACAAATCTTTCTTTTTTTTAATTCACTTTGCAGATTCTCTCTTTAAAACATCATAGTATAAGTCTGTAGATTCCATCTGGGCCTACTCACGAAGCTCAGCCAACTGAACTGAGAGAGGGAAAAGCATAGCAATAGCATAGTGATCATTTAGTCAGAGGGAGAGGGAGAAAGAGAGAATGCTCAGTCTCAGCCAGGCTTTCCTTCTCCATGTTATGCAGCACAGGCACGTTCCCATTGGCCTGCACTAGCAGGCGGGAAAGTATGAGAAAGAGGGAATTCCTGTGGCTTGGCATGAAGTGCTTAAGAGGCGTGGCATGTTCTCTGTTTACAGGGCCCACACTGAGAAAAAGCATCTCCAAGGAGCCACCGAACTCTGCTGTCTTCTTTTTACTCTCCTGTGTGTTTGGTTTCTAGTCTATCAGCGTTTCGTGTAGGAGGGCAAAGAAAGCATATGCTCATGGGATAACCCCGAAATCCCACTATGGGTGGATCTTGAAATTCTTCCCATATGAACCAGTCATACCTTAAGCTTGCAATGTTTTGTTGTGTGAAACGCTTTAAAAGTCGTTTGGAGGTGTGCAAAAACAACAATACTAATATTGCAATAAAACAATCAATAAAAAGATTTATGGTTTATTGTGTTCTAAAACCCAAAAAAACCAAATGTCAATATTTGCATGCTATTTATCCTTATACAGGGCTCTATGCTTACTTTTCTTTTTAGGAGCACTTGTGCTCCTAACTTAAAAAATTCAGGAGCACGTTCAAAATTTTAGGAGCACCTTCTAATCAATAATCCAAAATTTGATCAAAAAGTAGCCTTCCCATTACGAAGTGATATTTGACTCTAACTTTATTAAAAGTATGTAATCTTTTGTCAAATTCTTAAAAAAGAAATATTAAATGATTTAAATAACTGAAAAGATACTTTAAAAATGAAACTAAAACTGCCAGCAGGTGGCGGCAAGTCACTGATTTTATCACTGAATCATTCATTCAATCGATTCATTCGAACAGCTGATTCATTCAGTCTTTATGAACGGGTAATCATGAATCACTGACTCACTAGATTAGTTTAAAAACCATGTTCATTCATAAACAAAACACCGAAAAAAAATCAACTCTGCAAAAACATATAGAAACCTTTGAAGTTCCCCTGAGCGCAATCACAAGTATGATGATGATCGGGACAGTCGCACTGGTGCTCCTAAAAAAATTGTCATAGTCACACGCAGTAGTTTTCAGTCGCAAATGCGACTGAAATGGTCGCACTGTAGAGCCCTGTTATATATATTATACTATCACTTCGTTATTTGAAAACTGGGTCACTTATAAAGGTTCTATTTTAGTTAGGACAACTCACTAGGTTTTGCAAAGAAATGTTCTAGCAATCACAACAATTCTATATACACTGTATAAATATTATATACAGCACCAATACTGTATTCTATCCAGATGAACAGATCACCAAACATACTATAATTCAATCCAAATGAATTCCACATTCCCCCACAGTCCTCATCTTAAACACCATGCTTAATGTGAAATACTATTGGTTTAATGCCTGAAGTAAATTAATAACTGATGCTTTTGGGCTTTGTAAAAGCACTCCAGAGAGAGCGTGCAGCCCGCACCAGGCCAAGAGTGGAGCGCTTAAGGTTAAAAAGCCTATTTAAATTTCAGAGTGTTTTGCTCCATTCCTTTTTACACACTTCTCCATAAAGTCATGCCACGGAGGGCGAGTTACGGTACGAGTCACTCCGGGTGCTCTGCCTAGAAGCATACAGCAGGTAATCAGACCTCCAAACATTGAACAAACTCACTGTTCTCTAGCAGAAAAGTACTGCAACCATTTAGCACCATAATACAAGCTTTTATAGATGCAGCACAATCTTTAATGTAACTTAACTTTCACAAGTATTTTAATGTATACAGACCGGTCCCATCCACTTTCATTGCAAGTAACCAAGATTTTTGCTTTTTTAAGGAAAAGGAGAGACAAATGGGAATTAATATAGTTGTTTCTGCATATTAAGATGGTATAAGAGGAAGCATTTTAACATAAAATCACACACTTCAGCTTTAACTGAACGACAGAACCATTGAGGCAAACCATATCCAAAGATGAAGAATACTGCATTCGACACTTAATATCTTGTGTAAGCGCAAACCTGACATTTTGGACTCGACAGACATAGAATAAGGTATTAGCGATTCACAATACACCGCATATGCACCGTTAAGAGGATTTGTGCACATAATGCCAGCCCAATATAGATGAGACTCGACGTCAGTTTTCTCAGCGTCCGTGTAAACAAAAGCATCACACGTCAGTCCTGTTATGAAGTGCACGCATATAGCCACGGCAGGAAAAAATAAATGTAAACTGGGTATGTAGGCCGCTGGTGTCAGCTGTGATAGAAGAAACACAGCCAGGACTGAACACTACCTTGTTAGTCACAGTGTTGATTGCCAGCGTTGGAGAGGCACTTCCAGAGATGATGCAGTCCATTCCCAAGTTATCCGACTCCAGGCTGTACGGCGTGGACGCCTGCAGGAAAACAAGAGACATACTCAGCCAACCAGGATGGAGATGATGAGGGATGTGAAGTGACTTTGATTTCTATTCAAAGGCGTTTGGTATTACTCTGGTGCAAGAAATTTAAAAGCATACGCAGTGAGCGTTTATCAACAACAAAAGAGCAACACCTTTTATTTAGGTCAAAATTGGAGGCATTCTGGGAAAGAGATGAGCAGGAGAGAGGAACGGCTCCCTGTGCTCAGTCTGCTCTTGCTGGGGTAAAAGATAACTTCAGCACGCCTGTCTCCCAAAACTGCTTATTATAAGAGGATTGCCTGGCAACAATGCGATTTTTAATTTGTGATAAACATAAATAAGATTTTGCTAAGTCACAATTTTTAATGTCAAAGAATTTCTTAAACGAGACAGCAGGAGGATGAGAGAGAAACCGAGAGAGAGAGAGAGAGAGAGAGCGAGTGTCTAATGAAATATACTCCTAATAGCGAGCGTCACACTTTGCACAGACAGAATTCCCACTTATTTTTGCATGCAGGATCAGGCTGAGAGAGAATGGATCTAATTGGAGGTTTTTGATGTGAGTGAAGTGAGTGTCAGTATGAAAAATGTTTGTGTGTGGCCTGAGGGCAGAGCTGTGCTGAGAGAATGATACACTCACTGGAGTCTAGAGTGTGGCAATTATAAATGACACCGACCTAACTGCCTGACCATACAGAGGAAAAAACGCCTGTGCTCAGTCTGCTCTTGCTGGGGTAAAAGATAACTTCAGCACGCCTGTCTCCCAAAACTGCTTATTATAAGAGGATTGCCTGGCAACAATGTGATTTTTAATTTGTGATAAACATAAATGAGATTTTGCTAAGTCACAATTTTTAATGTCAAAGAATTTCTTAAACGAGACAGCAGGAGGATGAGAGAGAAACCGAGAGAGAGAGAGAGAGAGAGAGAGCGAGTGTCTAATGAAATATACTCCTAATAGCGAGCGTCACACTTTGCACAGACAGAATTCCCACTTATTTTTGCATGCAGGATCAGGCTGAGAGAGAATGGATCTAATTGGAGGTTTTTGATGTGAGTGAAGTGAGTGTCAGTATGAAAAATGTTTGTGTGTGGCCTGAGGGCAGAGCTGTGTGCTGAGAGAATGATACTCTCACTGGAGTCTAGAGTGTGGCAATTATAAATGACACCGACCTAACTGCCTGACCATACAGAGGAAAAAACGCACCACCAACTCAACACACATGAGGTCAATTAGGCTATCAGGCTTATCACATGTGATTTCGGACATATACACTTTTTGTCCAACCAATTTACATTCTCTTAAAGGGACAGTGCACTGGATGTGTTATTTTACATTTGATTACTTTAATTTCTGTAGTATTTCTTACCTGAATAAAAACTTACTTAACCTGAAAAACTTAGTTTCATAGCTCTCTTTATTCTATTGCATTTATTTGTGCTGTTGTTTGCAATTTTTTATTTGTTCTTATTTTATTACTGACTTTTTACTTGTGTTTTTTTAATGAAAATAAAACTTTGCGTTGAAGAAAAGTAGATTTGTGTTTGTATATGCTGTCAATTATAGTTCTTAGAAAGAAAATCGGAATCGGCAAAAATCGGTATCGGCAAATCACACAAACAAAAAATTGGAAATCTGAATCGGCCAAGAAAATTGCCATCTGTGTATCTCTAGTTTTAACAATGTATGAGCAGCCACTTAGTACATCACTCACTTTGCGACAACAAAACATGCCTTCATATCATGCACTCCATGAGCTTGATGTAGTCTGTTAGATTGCAGTTTGATTTTCAAGATATGGGGGCAAAAAAATAAAATAAATAAATAATGCCCCTCTATTTGTTTTTGTCTTATATTTATGTCATATGATACAATTAGGTGACACACATCACACAAGCAAGAGTGCTGTTTTCCCCTGAATATCAACACGAAAGAAATTTATTGATTAAATGTGCAAATTTGACATAAAATATGATACATACATCTATTACTATTAAAAAACAGTGCTGCAAATACACGAAAGATATGAAAAATGTCTCTGTCAGCTGTCCACAGGCCTAAACCAGTCAAGAAACAAGCAAAAAACACACTTGGCAAAATAATGCTTGATTATCATCAACAAAATCCCTGAAATTACTGCGTTATAATTCGAGCTGCGTTTTGACACAAATTTTACGATTCGATTTGATTTCCAATTTGATTCATTTGATTTTCGCTTATTCTGGATATATAGTACATGACGTATACAGTATACACGTACACAGTACATGACAATTTTTCTCCCCCCCAAAAAACAAACTAATGCTAATGTAACTAATGTAAAATATTCATGAGAGTCAGTAAGTACTACATTACTATAATATTGACGGTTAACATTAACTGATTTATATACACACGCTTAAATTAGACTACATTTTATAATAAGTTTAAGTACACTAAGTTTTTATAATAATAAAGTTACAATTACTTAAAGGGGTCATATGATGCGATTTCAATTTTTCCTTTCTCTTTGGAGTGTTACAAGCTCTTGGTGCATAAAGAAGATCTGTAAAGTTGCAAAGACTAAAGTCTCAAATCCAAAGAGATATTCTTTATAAAAGTTAAGAGTCATCCACACCTACCTAAAACGGCTCGTTCTAACACACCCCACATGTCTACGTCACGATGTGAGAAGATTTGCATAACGCCGCCCAAACGTTCACGCAAAGAAAGAAGGCGTAACTTAAAAATATTTGGCTGCACAACTGTTGATAATTCTAATAATAAATCAGCATATTAGAATGATTTCTGAAGATCA